GTGTGGTTCACCTGTGTAAAGCTGAAGTCCAGCTGTCAATTCCTGGCATTAGCTTTGCATTACAGCTATAAAAGGAGGAGAGACGGTCAACAAGGGGCGTAGCATCTTCCTGTCACATGACACGCTCATGTCAGCCAACCAGCAGCAGTGTTTACTACTGTTAAAACATTTGTGTAGAGCATCAGGGGGACAGAATCAACAAACTTGGCCCGGCGCCAATCTGGCCCGCAGAGCCACCGGACACACTGGCGGGTGAGGGGTGTCACCTGGCAGAACCTGAAACACATCCAGGGTGGGGCAGAGTCATGTGACTAACTCTGAAGGTGGAGGCTGTTAGACCACCAGCCAGACCTCGGAAGGTGGAGGCTGTACAGAGAACAAGAGACAAACACTGAACAGGGGAAGGTGGCGCTGGCACATAGGGGACGTAGGAGGCTCTTTGTGGGGCTGTGGCCCCCGGACGGGCCCTTCTGCGAGACTCTAGTGAAATACTCAATGTTAGCTCTGGGAATAGCTGGAAACTTCTCTGGACTTCAGCTCAGAGATGAACTGTAGCTTATCCAAGGCTGTCGCTACATGCAGGAGCAGAAATCCCCAGGGGAGGGGTCACAAGTTGGCACTGCCCCCCCCAGAGTAACCCAAGCCTCCGCTTTCGTCAACGGCTATGAGCATGTGTGAAGTGATCTCTTATTGACAGGCAGGCATGTGGCTGTGATGACTGTGTCCCCGATTGTGCTTTTTATATGGCAGCCGGGAGAGGGACACGGGTGCTGTGTGTTTTATTTGTAGGTGATGAAATCTACTGCGCTGCCTTTGTGTCGCCCGAGGTCACGGCGCAGCTGAGATCCGCACTAAGCTGCACGGAATTAGGGACTATTTTAGGATGGTGGAGGATGCTGCTCCTCAAGATCCTTTCGCTCCTGGACCCACAGTGGGATCCACAATGGGATCCACAATGGGATCCATCTGCAGGGTTCTGGCCAGCACCTCAGGCACGGATAAACCAGCAGGGGGCTCCACTCTCTCTGTGCACATGAAGCCGAGGTGGGTTTGTTCTTTCTGGGCCCTGACTTACATCCCCCCCAACCCCCTATCTCCTTACATTAGGAATGTGTTTATTTAATTTTTAGTGTAGTGATTGTTTGTGGACAACAGGGGGCACCACAGAAATGCGTGGCTTGAGTGGTGATAAACATCACTGTGGGATGTAAGATCCCAGAAAGGTTAAGATCTCAGCAGGAAAGCCCAAGGACCTGCTCTATTGCTCCCTGAGAGACCACAGGCCACAACATACAATGGGACAGGTGACAGCCACAGGAAACATACTTGTAGATATGGCCCAAATGCTGGACCAAGTGTACACAGATAAGCACACCTACAACTGTACAGGTTCACAGGGTAAACAGACCTACAACTGTACAGGTTCACAGGGTAAACAGACCTACAGCTATATAGGTTCACAGGGAAACAGACCTACAACTGTACAGGTTCACAGGGAAACAGACCTACAACTGTACCTGTGATGCCAGGCATGGCACCTTAAAGACACACATATCCACATACGCGCACGAACACGTGAACGTACACAAGACCCAAACGGACCTGAACAGTGCACGCTCTGCCTGGAGGCGACTGGTACACAGTGCTGAACACTGCCCAGACACAAGCTCCAGCCTAAAATATGCACCTTCTATGTTCTGCCACCAGAGGGAGTACACGCAGAATGCTGCTCCATTCACTGTCTTTGTCAAGGATCAGATTATGATTTAAAATATAAACAAGTTGCCATATTGTTTCGCATACATGTAGTAGAAAAGAGCTTAATAATTTCATTTATTTAGATCATTATTGCATCATCCTGGGGTGATAGTGAGTCCTGCAGCACTGATGGCCCAGAACCTTGTGTACCTGCAGCAGAGCTCAGTGGCGCCCTCTTGTGCAAACTCCATTTTCTTGCAGGATGGAGTTGGAATGTGCGGTTTTTCAAACACACAGGCTGTCCCGACCGCCCGCATCGCTAGGCCAAAACACGACAAGATGCCCCCTACTGCTCCCCCCATCCCCTGCCCCTAGAGGCCCACGTCCTCCTGCAGCTCGCTGCCTCAGCCCCCAATGGTCACCACCCGTGGTTGGAGGTGACAGGAGCAGCTCCATCAGGCCGTCGCTGCCTCTGTGGGGCAGGAGTCACCCTCATGTTAGACAGAGAGTGAAAAACAACAGCCCTTATGCCCCTTCTCCCCAAAATCAGACTGACACAGATCTCATTATTTATATGTGGATTAGTATCTGATACATGGTATACAGTGTTTGATGCAGAGATTTCTACACAATGAAAATACACCACAATTCAAGACAAAATCTAAAAGGACGACATCATAGACATTGTGAGAACATCAGACAGCATTACATGCTGAGTCACTGTGTGGTAACTTTGCGAAGAGGGTCTCTCTGCATTCTGGATTCCAAAGTGACCAATTCTGGGTGTGGGGGGTGGGGGGCGGCACGGTCATGGCCTCTTTCTATAAATGTCATGCAGATCTCTTAAACCTATAAATGGCCGTACATGCAGTCCCTGACGGAGGCCGTTTAATCTGTGCTCAAATCAGCTGAGAGCTAAGATACGACTTCCCCACATTCAGCACTTCTGAGTTTATGGTTCAAGTTTGCACTAATTCTGCCAAAGCAAATTACACGCTGTGAATTTATGGTGTCTCCAAAAAGCAAACGAATGGACAAGGGAATTAAAAAGACATGTTTCCGGGTCACTGTGTATATCAGGTGACAGCAACTGAAGGGGTTTAGCCGTCTGATCCACTCTGCCCAATCACGGCGGGCGGTCACTCAACCGGCTGCATTTCCCACATCTTTGTAATCATGGGAATAAATCATTCAGGTCGTCATGGATATGTAAACGCAGCACTAGCCAATAGACAGGGAGATAGCAGACATAGTAGATCTGGCTGGGCTTCCCCTGAGTTTACACTGGCAGGGCCAATCTAAAAACAGAGCTGTAAAGACAGGCTGCTCCTGCTGGGGATTTGTTACATTAATTTAAATTAAATGTCAAAGCCTCTCATCTATCAGACAGGTACTGTGCCTTAGGGGGAGGTGTGTTCATATGGGCCGATATATTTAGCACGTGTTGCTCTGCCCCCCAAATATTCTTGGCATCCCTGGAAGGTGGTGTCCTGCCCCCAGCCAAGGCTGCAGCCGCCCGAACCAAGGTTACGCCGGCATCTGAGGCCCCCTGAATAAGGACAGGAACAGGTCAGCTGTTTGACAGCCAGCAGAGACGGGTGTCAGAGGAAGGTGACGCCTGCCTCTTGTATCTGTCCTGCACCGAAGTCACTCAACGCCCAACCCCCCCCCCCCCCGGAAGCTTTCAGCAGTTTATAACTTATTGTCTGTATCAGCCTGGAGTGACATGTACCCTTGAAATAACTAAATTATTTTCATGTGATAATGAAAGAATACTTTTATCAGTTTACTTTACACGTCCCTAATTTGCTGTATTCTAGAAGATGCATTAGTGTTATTATGTTTGGGTTTATGTGACTGCAGAATAAATGATTTCTACCACAAACAGGAACACCTACAAAAGGTTAGATAGCTGAATCAAACAAACAATCTAGAATGAGTTTATATTATATTATATCGGTTATATTGAGGTCAACAACTGTCTTTTTCAACACATCTGCAGTTTGCACCTTTAAATATCCAGCCAAACTTGGCAGCCTTTTTGTTTCTAAGAATAAAGTCTTTAGAGTTATAAAAACAGCCAAATTACAAGGAGTCCTACTAAATATTTAAATGAGTTTCCTTCCTTTCAGCTCTACCAGTCATGGGTTTATTTTAACCTGTTAAAAGGTTGCATTCTGCTTAGAGCACACAGAGTGCACCAAGAGTGTACTGAGAGTACACCTGGAGTGTGCTGAGAGTATGCTGAGATTACACTGAAAAGTGCGCTGAGAGTGAACTGCCATGATAAACAAGCAGTGAGAGCTGGTGTGACAGCATGAAGCTCCTTAGCGGGGGGGAGATCCCCACAACCTCATTTCAGGGTATTGACTGAATACCAGGAACAAAGGCTGTGAATCATCATCCTTGCCAGTGATCCTTTCATCTGGCTTGTCATGCTGCTGCTTGAAGTCTTCATTAACAGCAGAGGCCTCCCCCAAAGGGGACTCGCTCCGTCTCTCCGGGGACTGCAGGTTTGAATCTGGCCTATGTCTTGGTGATTCAGTTGTCTGAATGTGTCCTTGTAGGAAAATTCCACCCCCCCACCCCCAAGACCCTGAGTCCTATACAGGCTGAACCTGGTCAGCACCCATTTTCCAGGAAGGGCTTCCATCCCACCATGTCCCTGACTTGGTAAGAGGTTTCTGAAAACAGATTGTCTACAGGGCTGTGAGATCAGGCCCCGCTCTCGCTTTGAATTGTCGGGTGGGCAAGAAGATTACCTGGGGGGCGGGGCTAAAGACTGTAGGAAGGTGGATGCTGGTATTAAAGATTTCTGAGTAGATGTGGGGTGGGTGCCAGTAGAACAATCTGTGGGCCAGATTTAATATTTTTCCCCAAGAGGGACAGGTGGACCGATCTTATGACGGGGGGTGCCAGGCTGACTGCGACCCCCAGCCCTGGAGGTAGGCCTGTGCGAGGTATTGTTCTCACACAGAATACAAAAATAGCACAGAATAGCACAATAAAAATGAGCAATTCTATAATACACATTCTGGCACTACCCACCATACCACATTTACCTCATTCTTAGACACACTGCATTGCCATCATCACACGACGCGGGTCCCTGGACCCGCTTCTCCACGCACGCGTCTGACCGCAGGAGTCCGACATGCCCGGTTAATGAAGCAGGCAGCTTTTCTCGTCAAAGACATGACAGGTGTCAGGCTGTATTATTGTAACACTTCCCTCCTCGGCACAGCTGGTCACGTTTGGCACATGGCGACAGGCCGGCCCATTCTTGGGGACACGCGCTATATTTATTGTCCAGTAGCTACAGGAACATAAAAGCAGCCATTGTCAGCGATCTGTGGCACGAGGAACAATCAGTCTGTGCCAGAGAGGCTGAGGTAAGGGCTGAGGTGTCAGCGATGGGGGGCAGCCAGCTTAAGCTGCCACATTAACCAAGCATGTTCAGGATATCTAACACTGAGGCTTTCCATCAAATCGTCTGTGAATGAAAATTAAACTTTATGCTTTTTTTTTCTTCTAGAAGGTTTCACAATGTCGGAGTAAGTAAACCTTCAGTCAAATTTGTCATGTTCATTGTTTTTAAGTAAAACAAAGAACCAGACTGCCTCTTAATTACTTGCTTGATGGGATAATGTTTTCTAAGCTTCAGGATATGCGGTCCAGTGGATTGTTTCCATACCTGATTTTACTCATTTAAGCAATTTCAAGTAAAACTTAGTATCAATATGCATTTCAACATAACAAGCTATACAGTGGACTTTTCTGAATGTCTTTTCTGAAATTTGCCCATGAATTGCTCTGAAGTCCCCTGTCATATAGGTTAGAAACATTTGGCAAAAACGACAACAAGCAAACATACAAACAAGCATGCATTTGTATTTCTAACTATTTCTCTCTCCCTTCGTTTGTTTGTCCTCCTTGGTGTCTTTGGCTCTCACAGCGAGGTAAGCATTTATTTCTCATGCTTAAAATACAGTAACAGAATCATGATTCACATTCTGTACAAATACCTTTAAGTATCACCATTAAGATCCAGAAGGGTTACCGTCCCGCTGATTTGCACTGGGTGCCCCTCTTGTGACTCGGTCGGTCACGGCTGCTGTGTCTCTCCCACAGGAGCCCAGTATCCCCAGGCCTCTGCATCCCAAGGCAGAAGCCAAGGTGCGTTCAGGACCGGTGCTGCACTTCCCACACAGCTGCTGTGCCATCGGCCTTCTTAAGGGACAGGGACACACTGAGCAGCCCCCCAGTCACTATGATGTCTGAAATCACACCTCCGCTGCCCCGAGATCCGACTGCTCACGTCCACAAACACTGGCCGCTTTCTCAGAGTGCATTCAGCGCTTTAAGAAGCTTCCCTTACTCACAAAAAGCTTCTCCTCAATTGATTGATGCATGAAATTAGATTACATTGGATTGCTTTTGCACAATGAACAAGTATTCAGACAAGAAAATGCAATTTGGCATCTAATCTGATAGTGAAGAATAGTTAGGAAATGTATACCTATACATATCAACCTTGGAATAGATTATTGTGAATATCTCTCCCAAATGACTTAACCCTCCTCACTTTTTTAGCCGAAGTCAAAGATTTCGGCATCCCGGAAGCTCTCGCTAAAGGTGGGTCTCCCTTTGAAACTGAGCTTGGCCTCTAACCTTCATAGACCAGGCAGAATCTTGGCTACGTTCTCACCTATGACTCCGTCACACAGATCCTGCTCCTGACCCGGGCCATGGAGGATCTGGAGAAGGAGAAGATGGAGCGGAACGAGGAGAAAGTGCGATACCTGGCGGAGAAGCTGCCCCCTCTGCAGCTATCGGGGCTATCAATGGACGAGATGCAGGTGAGCGGGCGAGGGGGATGGCACAGGAACTGCAGGTCCAACGGTAGGTCCTGTCCAAAGAGCGGCGTGACAGCAGATACTGTTGTTACTAAAGGCTGATTTATATTTCGGCATAGAATCCACACCGTAGCCTGGTGCGCCCCCTCCCCAGAAATGGCTTTGTAATTGCAGTCATGGTGACACAGACTGCAAGAACTGTAATTGGTCCGCTTGGTAGCATCACACTTCCTCCCCTGCAATGCTTTGTTGTTGATTGTTTCCAGCTGCTGCTTTTTAGTGTGGGACAGGTTGTGTTCAGCTCACTGCTAACCTGCCGTCCTACAGTCATTCACACGAGGGCTGTATGATATTGGAAAATGTGATTTTTTTTTTGCAATAAATACTGCAATATTTCTAAAGCGAAAAATGAATTTTAAATAACTTTCTCACAAATGCACATATGACTGATTTAAACAGCAAGGATGGAAATTATTATGATTGGCTCAGAAAGGGCATGCAGAGCTCTTGAAATGTCAAAATCTTGAAAAGGAACAATCATTAAAATTGCAGAACTTGCTAAGTTTTGTTTCCTGTGACAGAGTAAAAATGCTTTAGTGAAGCTTAAACGCCCTGCATTTTGGCGGTGTGATGACCTCACAGACAAACCAGTGCACAACCATAAAATGCTTGCAAAAGTGCAGGCCGCTTGCGTAGCTCACAGCATAAGCGCTGCATAGGCGCGACGCGATTATATAAATCAACCTCAAGGAAACCGATCGATAAACTTAAGGTCACCGTTTTGAGTGGAATGAGTGGGTTAAAATAAGGTGTGGATAAGAGTCAGCTGACGACCACAATGTTTTTGTAAACAAGCAAACGCTGTTTTTTTTTTTTTGCAGAAACTGTGCAAGCAGCTTCATGCGAAAATTGACGTCGTGGATGAGGAGCGTTATGACTGCGAGGCCAAAGTTATGAAGAACAACAGAGACGTACGTGTTTCATTAAGTCTGTGACTGCAGATCACAGTTGTGAAAGTGTAACATCACCCCAAAGATGGAAGCCGTCCCCAGCAGTGACCTCAAATCTACAGCCACCTTGTCCATCCAGCACCCAGCACATAACACTGTGGTTCTGACCCGATCCAGATCCATGAGCTTAAGCTGAAGGTGCAGGACCTAGGAGGAAAGTTTAAGAAGCCGGCGCTGAGGAAGGTGCGTGTGTCGGCGGATGAGATGATGCGTGCCCTGCTGGGCTCCAAGCACAAGGGCTCCATGGACCTGCGCGCCAACCTCAAGTCCGTTAAGAAGGAGGACATCAAGCAGGAGAAGGTAGGAGGCCACAGGACAGTCACCAAAGGAGCCCATGTAGAATCACCCAGCAGATATTAGTTATTTCTTTACTCCACATTCTACGTGGAGGCTTCAGGCCTTATGTTGAGTTATAAATCTGAAGCGAAGGGATAGGTACACATGGTATGGAGACAGATGTCACGGATCTCCTCCACGTGTGGAGACATGACCTCAGCAGTGGCAGGCAGAGCAGGTGGCATGTCAGAATTCGTCATCAACAGCACGGCAATGTGACATCATGGCCAGGTCCACCTGTCACCCATAAATCAGACGTAGGGGTGTGTCATGTGAAAATGCCGCATCTGACTCCCCCTATGGTCACCGCCTTCCCCCACAGGTCCTGACCACCGAGGTGGGAGACTGGCGCAAGAACGTGGAGGCCATGTCAGGCATGGAAGGCAGGAAGAAGATGTTTGATGCTGCTGGAGGTGGCCAGTGAGGCCTCTCCCCCAGCGTGAAAAAAGAGGAGGAAGAAGGCTGAACTGAATGGGGTTTGGGGGGGTGGGGGGGTATGTACTGCTGAGCACAGCCTGGAAGAGCAGAGCATACAAAGTGCAGAGCTTCTCAGTGACAATCATGCATCATCTGTGGCACCAGCGTGTGTCTGCCTGCATGTGAACAGAGGCGCTTGGGAGAGCAGACACTCGCCTCAGAGCAGCGGCAGGGGCGGAGCCCTGCGTGAGCACAAAGTTCACTTTACTTCTGTTGCTTCTGGAAGTTTGTTCTCAATCCAGAATTTAATCACTCAGCACTATTTGCTTTACAGCCAGATGCTTGCTGTTCCCAAATTTACAAGGAAGTCGTCTCACATAAATCAAAAAAAGGTTGGGCCTTTATCCATCTATATCTATGATATTTATTTCTCCGTGTACTTTTTTAATTAAAGAGGTGTTCAGCAAACTGGAGACACCAGCTGGGTAAGGCTGTCCTCATCTGCTGATCAAGATGCAGACGCCCACGCTGTTAGTCTTTGGTGTCGTCTGGCTTTGGTGGTGACTGCAGAAGGTGGGCTGGTCGCGGTGCAGAGCCTGAAAATCAGCCTGGCGCTGACCATCTGGGGGGGGCGGGGGGGGGGCTAGGCAGCACCATACATAAAAGAAAGCTCAGCTAAGATAATGCAGACTGTACCTGGTATGCAATATTATTTGTAAAGGGCGTCTTTTTTTCTCATCAAAAAAAAAAATCATTATTATTTGTATGAGATTAAGGTCAAATGACTGTTTTATCATTATCCAGCTTACTGTGACCCCCCCCCCCCAGACCTTGGGAGAATATTAGATTTCTGCTTCCTCCTCCTTTGTGAAGGTCAAAGCTGTCTGGGGTATGTGCCGCAGGAGGGCTAACAATAGCTAAATGCTAGCGGGGGTGGGGGGGGACTCAGGGGACACAGACGGGCTGAACGGCTGGACATCAGAGAGCACATGACCCCGCGGGTCGCGCTGAGCCTCCCTACACTGGCACAGCGGAGTACCCCCGTCAGAGGGCACATGACCCCGCGGGTCGCGCTGGGCCTCCCTACACTGGCACAGTGAAGCTTTGGCTCACAGAGCCCCGCCTTCTCCTCCTCCATCACCACATTCCACAGGAGGCCTGTATCGGCAATCATGATGGGCCTCATTACCGCCTTTTTTAAAGCGTACTCACCGCATCCTGTCACTCCAATTTCAAAGACAGTAAACAAGCAGGAACCACGGAACATCTTATCGGGAGAAGGCTTTGCATAAACAGCATATAAACAGTAATGTTTATCTGTTTTCACGGCTCATAAACTTAAGCACTAATTCTATTATGTTACTCAAACCGGTTCAGTATTTTAAACACCGAACTTTTCGCTCTTTCCACTCCCCAAAAATAGATGTCACCCCAAATGTGAGAAATATGTTGTTTTATGGTTTTTTATTTAATGCTGCCGGTTAGTTGTTATACACTCATCAGTGTCATCATGGATTTTGGTGACCAGGGGGCAGTGAGGGACAAAGGACTCACCAAGCCTGGTCTGTGTGCTACACATGTCCCTTGTGCTGCACCAACCTGTGTCACTCACACTAGGTGAGACACATGTTCTCACGCCTTGAAAACACCAAACCACATAAAACATTTGAAAGTGAGAGAATTCTGTATGCAAATATGGGAAGCGATGTTCGAGTTCTTCCTGTGACGTGCAGCACTGCCATCTATGAACCACGGTCACGATAGCGACCACGCAGAGGCACGTTGAGACCCTGAAACTACGGCAGTCCCTGAAAGTCACAGAGGGAATGAGGGCACCGGACTGGATTGACTGATCCTGAAAAATCAGATTCTGAAAAAGTAAATATATCCAAGAACCAAAGAAGAAAAAAAAAATGCAAAACCAAGACGAGAAGTTAAGGTAAATCAACTAAGTTGTTCTCTATGTCCAGTTTAATATTACTGTAATTTTATTTTCAGAAACCAGAAGTATTTTGACCTGCTGATGCGGTGTAGGCTTTACCCAGAAGATAAAACGTACTCATACAGGGGAAAAAAAACAATGCATTAAGTATTAAACTGGCAGTTGTCCCGTGTGTAATATAATCTAATAGTATTTTAAACAGAGGAACCTCTCAATTTGCATCTGCTAAGCTTGACTAATTCTGCAGCTGCACCTTGTTTCCTGTGAATACACACTGGCAACACATCATCAGCCATGTAAATTGCTATTTTAGGTTTTTCATGTTTTTGTCTACAAAATAAAAGCAAATTTCTTCTTTCAAGCACAGATTGTGAAATCATTATTGTACCTTCTTGTGCATATTTAAGACAATCAGAAGCACATAAACAAAACGGCAGCTGTATTGTTTTGCAAATTGGTAACACGTGCATCTTCTTGTGTGTTTCAGGAGGAACCTTATAACATTTGCTTTGTTTGTCCTTAGTCTGATGATACTGATAGCAGATGGAAGGTTCACAATGCAAACAAACACAGAACTGACTTGTTTTACTCAGGCAAAGGAACAACTGGACCTATCCAAACATGGCCTTAGAAAGGTGCCACCTAACTTGCCAATGAACACCCAGTACCTCGATCTGTCTTACAACAACATCAGCTCTCTGCATGGAGACGATCTGGAGCACCTGCCCAACCTCTGTGTACTCAAGCTCACTCATAATGGCCTGGAAATCATCTCACCCTTAGCCTTCCAGCGCAACCCCAGGGTCCAGGTCCTTGATGTCTCCTTCAATGTTCTGAAGATCATTCCTGACTTGAATCTACCGGATCTCAGGGTCTTAGATCTCTCTCAGAACCTCTACAATTCATACAGCCTGGGGAGGTCTTTCAAGAATCTTCTAAACCTCACCTCCCTGGGCCTCGGAAGTCCTTTGGTTAAATCTATAAACACATTTGACTTTGCTCCACTCTGTGCTACCCCTCTGAAGAACCTGCAGCTGGGTGCAGGAGCTGAAATGAGTCACTTTGAACCTGGATCTTTCACCTGCTTGCCAGCATTGCAAGAGATGACACTTAAAATGTCATTCTGTGAAAAACCATTGATATTAGGAGATATCCTTCGAGACCTGGAGAGAATCAATGTTAAGAGTCTGACACTGAAAAGATTTGTTCCGGACCAGTGCGATGTCACTAGCAACCTTTTTGAGCAGTTGAAAGGCATGGAGCACCTTCAGAACATCACCTTTACGGACACCTTCTTTAACAGCTCTGTTTTGACCAATGCAGTTAGCAATGTTATGCAATCCTCGGCAGAGACGCTTTCCTTCTTCAACATCACATTTGCCCAAGACACACCCGAAGGAGTCAAAATTCATGATCTCCCAGGATACAATAAGACAGTCCGTCTCAGAGTACTGACATTTCACAAAATCCACCATCACCAGTATTACTTTCCATTAGTCAGTGTCAACACGAGCTTGTTCCCTCACCTAACTCACCTGAAGTTCTCTGGCACAGGGATGAGCATCATTCCTTGCAACTTGATCTCAGCCCTGCGATCCCTAGAAGTGCTGGATCTATCAGACAATATTCTGCACAACCACGGGCTGTGGTGGTCTGCCTGTTCCTCCCCCGAGGAGTTCCCATCCTTGAAGCAGCTCTACCTTAGAAACAACCAGTTCAAAGACCTTCAGTTCATCTCCAATCACACCCATGAAATGAAGCATCTCAACACTCTGGACCTGAGCAAAAATGTCATACAGCTTAGCAGAACCAACTGGTCCCCACATCTCACAAACCTTTCTCTAAGCAACAATCTACTGGGAGATGCTGTGTTTGATTATCTCTCACCATACATGCAAATCCTCAACCTTTCACAAACAGGCATCACAAAGATGACCAGTGATACCATGTCACAGCTGCCTGACGTAAGGCACCTTTTTCTGAGCTTCAATAACATCAAAGACTTGCCCTCTGACCTCTGGGCACCAAATTTGGAAGAGCTGCATGTGGATCACAACAGCATAAACATCTTTCCTCAAAGTGCTTTCAAAGGGCTGCCTGGACTCCGGCGACTCAAAGCCAGCAACAATCCATTTATCTGTAACTGTGAATTATACTGGTTTGCAACCAGCTTCAACAAAACAGTATTAATCGACTGGCCTGAGGACTACACTTGCTCTGCTCCTGCCGATCTTGCTGGAACAACATTAGAAAAGTTTCGTCCAAGTCGAATGTCTTGCGATCCATGGCTCCGAGGTGTCGTAGGCGTGACAACCACTATCCTAGTCACAGCGGCCTTTGGGCTGGTGTTCTATGCTTGCGATGGCGCCTGGTATCTTCAGATGCTCTGGGTGTGGATGAGAGTGAAGCAGAGGGGAAACCAGAAAGCTCAAAGGCTGGGGCAAGTCTTTGATTACCATGCCTTCATCTCATACAGCCAGAAGGACAGCTGGTGGGTGGAGTGCCAGCTGGTGCCCCACCTTGAAAGGGAAAACTTCAACCTCTGCATCCACGAGAGAGACTTTGTCCCGGGTGACTGGATCATCGACAACATCATTAGCTGCTTGGAGCGTAGCTCCAAGACACTCTTTGTGCTCTCCCAAAACTTCATCCAGAGTGACTGGTGCACCTATGAGTTGTTCTTCGCACAGCATCAGGCTTGGAGCATCCAGCAGGATTCGCTGGTCTTCATCCTGTTGGAGCCCATCCCAATAAATTCCCTCCCCAGAAAGTTCCTAAAGCTGAGGAGCCTGCTTTGGCAGCAGACCTACTTGAAGTGGCCAAATAACGACGGGCACAAGGAGAAGATCTTCTGGGCCAGGCTGAAAAGCCTGCTGCAGGTCACCAACCCGAACACGGTCCTCGAACACGTGGCTAAGGAGATGTGTCCCCTACTGAAGGACACTGCTTAATGTCTAACATCTAGCACAGGGATCTTCAACTCTGGACCTCGATTCCAAATCCAGGCCTTGTTTTTAGTTCTCCCAGGTAGTTGTTTAATAATTACTGATTCTGATTGGTCAGAGGCTTCACACCTTACTGACAGGTAAAGAAAGGCTGGAAAACCAGCAGTGCTCGGACCTCAAGGACCGTGAGTTGAATAACCCTGATCTAGCTGCTTATCCATTTGCCTGCATGCGTGTCTTTTGCTTTTATTTTTATGAAATATCTCACTCAAGCATGAGCAGATCTGAAAAAAAATTATCCTTCCTGTGTAAAAACTGTACATGTTTAATATCCCATGTATACACCCTCTTTTGTAACTGCACACTTTTAATGATTATTCAAACAAGCATCTGTTTTTATAGTTCGAATGCATTTAAAATACAATCTGTCAGTTGTTCCACTGAAAATAAAAAAATATACATTTGATTTTCATGAACTGTGTTAAGAATTGGTTTTAAAGTACACAAATACCAATTTCACAGAAATCAGTGTTAAAATCACAGTCACTACAGCATCAGCAGGGAGATCGGTATTTTTAATGGCTGGGTCTGAATTCAGGGGCTGCATCCTTTGAAGGACATTGTTGATGTAGCCTTTGTAGGCTATGTCCCTTGAAGGTTCACACATGGAATCCTGGGATCTCGGCAAAAGATCAACGCATGTCTAGGCTGCATTTGAAGGAGCCTTCTAAATGGGACAGCCTTGCTGTACGGCTGCCATGCATTTGGTCTGTGAATGGAGACTCAGAAGAATGCAGCCCCTGAATTGGGACACAGCCTGTACACTGCAGCCCCTGAATTGGGACACAGCCTGTACACTGCAGCCCCTGAATTGGGACACAGCCTGT